TTAGGCTTATATGCTTGCATACAAGTCCTTTGGGTGATCTCTCCCCCTTACCCCCACCCTCCCCTACCTTCCCTCTGAGGTTTGACGGTCTGATGGATGCTTCTCTGTCTCTGGATCTGTTTTTGTTCATCAGTTTCTGTTGTTCATTATATTCCATAAATGAGTGAGATCTGAAGTGAATCTTGATAGAAAAGAAAGGAATAGCCAGACGGTGAGAGGTGACGGGTATTCTTGGCAGAGGGACCAGCGGTGCAAATGCATGGGTTGAGAGGGCTGATGATAATAATAGTACCTAATATGTGACAAGTTATGTGTCGGATACGATACAAGCTCATTGTGTGTATTAGCTCATTTAATTCTTACAACCACCCTGTGAAGTGGGTTCTATTATTCATCTTTAGAATAATTTTTCCAAGTTCACACACCTAGTAAGAAGTCAAGTTTGCATTCGGGTTAAGGCTGTCTAATACCAGGGTGCTGAGTGACAAGTCGAATGATTTGCTTTTGGATTTAGCTGGGGAGATGAAATTGAAGAGGGAGGCAGTAGTCAGATCATAACTACTTGAGAAATGTGTATCTTTACATGAATGTAATGAAGTAATCACTTCGTGGCAATTTTGTGATTACAAGTGTCTTTAGATAAAGCCTTGAAGCAGTTGTGAGGAGGATGGAAGGCAGTGAGACCAGTTTAGGAGGTTATTAAAGTAATCCAAGAACTGAGTTGAAAGCAGCTGCAGTGGAAATGTGGAGGTAATGATATATTTGAGAAACAATTAGAAGATAAGAGCCACCGGGTTTGGTGACCAGTGTGGACCCAATTAGTGAGACGACAGAGGAAGGAATCTAGAATAATGCAAATATTTCAATCTGTGCTCTTTACTGTGTTAAGATGCCTGAGGATACCCAGATGAGGCATACAGTAGATGGTAGGAAGGATGAGTCTGAAACTAAAGAAAAGGGAGTAGGTTACACTTACAGATTTGAGAGTCATTAGTTTGGGTGATAATTGAAGCCCAAGAAATATGAAAAGAGAAGGCTAATGGTGCTTCAGAAACAAAATAATTATCCCTAACTGAACCCAGCCAGAGCAGAGCCATAGTAACTGCATTCCTTTCTCGAGATATCAGCACAGTTTAATGCAGGGGTGGGCAAACTTTTTGACTCGAGGGCCACAATGGGTTCTTAAACTGGACCGGAGGGCCGGAACAAAAGCATGGATGGAGTGTTTGTGTGAACTAATATAAATTCAAAGTAAACATCATTACATAAAAGGGTACGGTCTTTTTTTTTTTTTTTTTAGTTTTATTCATTTCAAACAGGCTGGATCCGGCCCGCGGGCCGTAGTTTGCCCACGGCTGGTTTAATGGCTTTAGAGCCAAATAGACAAAAGTTCCAATAACAAATCTCTGCTACTTATTCTTTTGTGGTCATGAATAAGTCACTAACCTCTCAGAACCTCAGCTTTCTCAACTGTGAGCACTGGTTTGATAATACCTACTTTCTAGGATTGTAAGGATTAAGTATAATAGTATATGATATATGTGAAAAGAATGAGAAAATAAGGTACTCAATAAAAGATATTTAGAAGCAATGGCATATTAGCTAGCCTGCATAACAGAATACTGAAGCCTGAGGGGCTTACACAAAAGAAATTTAATTCTCAGAATTCTTGAGACTAGAATTCCAAGAGCAGGGTACCTATCATGGTTGGTTTCTCCTGAGGCCGCTCTCCTTGTTTTGTAAATAGCCTCCTTCTTGCTGTGTCCTCACATGGCCTTTTCTCTGTGCAAGCATGTACACATACACACATAAAGCACACATACTCTTGGGTCTCTTCCTCTTCTTGTAAGGACACCAGTCCTTACATTAGGGCCCCAACCTACAACCTCATTTAATCTTAATTACCTCCTTAAAGAGGCCCCATCTCCAAATACAGTCACATTGGGAGTTAGGGCTTCAACCCATGAGTTTTGTTTTTTTGGGGGAGGGGGGGGCGCTCACAGCTCAGTACATAACAGGTGGATTATTATTATTCCCAATGGTCCTCCCAGTTTTGCCTTAAAAGCAAACAGAGCCCGTCAGTCATGGCTCAGTAGTTGAATGTTGACCTATGAACCAGGAGGTCACAGTTCAATTCCCCATCAGGGCATATACCCAGGTTGCGGGCTTAATCCCCAGTGGGGGGTGTGCAGGAGGCAGCTGATCAATGATTCTCTCTTGTCATTGATGTTTCTCTCTCTCTCTCTCCCTTTCCCTTCCTCTCTGAAATCAATAAAAGTATCTTTCTAAAGCAAACAGAGTCTCTACTAAGACAGCTATAGTAAATATTAAGGGGTGATATGTGAAAGCAAGACCTTAGAAATCTATAGATTCCTGAGAGGCAAGATAGAGGCATTGTAAAAATTAGACCTGATAGGGGCATTTTGTTGTTTATTTTCCTTGTGTTCCTTCACATCCACTCTCAACTTTCCTTTACCCTGCTCTTAGCTCTATAAAGCTGACCCATATAGACTACATCAATAGGATGCTTTGTTGGAGCTTCTTTTTGGAGATTGAAGGGTAAACAAGAGTGAAATCCAGTTATTGATTCTGTCAGCACCCATCCTGCTGTGTTTCCACAGATTAATTGTGTCTTAACCAAAGGCTCTTCACATCCTTTTGAATTCCTAGAACCACAATTTTCCCTTGTCCCTTCAACCCTGAAAATAGGAATCACTCCTGGCTGTTGGTAGTACATGTCACATAATCAGCAAAAAACACTGGCCACTAAAATCCCAAATCTAGGACCTCTCATGGGAAGCAGAGATACCTGGAAGCCATATTTCTTAGATGGGCTTCCCATGCTTTATGACAGGAACCACCTCCAGTCACCAACCAAGCTCTTACAGAACTAGTAAGCTCAGGTATTATGAGCGCATGAGCAACACTCAGGGATTTCACTCTCCTAATGCAAATAGAGGTCTTCTGGTTTGAAAAGAATTATTATCTTTCTCCTCCCTAATGGTGTGATGACCCAATACTCCTCCTTACAGTAAAACTTTTCTACTCACCACTCATTCTTGATGTTTTTGTCTTTAGTTTCTCCTTAATGACACCATCCTGTTTTTTATTCTCCCAAAACCTGTCGATAGCTTTGTTAATAACTTCCCTTCCTAAATTCTCCTCAATTACCCCCTTCTAATATGTCATCTTTTGTTGTGACCCGGACTGATATAAAAATTAAAACAAAAACAACTAAACACCAGGGAAATTGGAGCCTGGAAGATTAATAAAGCAAGCTGCAGGTAAATTTTTGAGAGTTGGCAGCATAGAAGTCATAGTTTTATGCTGTAACTCCATGAATTCATCAGGAATTACACAGAAAAGAAGGGGTGAGAACAGAAATTGAAGGACAAGCACAAGTGGGGAGTAAAATGAGAAAAGGGGGTTTACAAGAGAGCAGAGAGGCAGGAGGAAAATCACAAAAGTCAGGGTCAAAGACCAAAAGGATGGAACCTGAGGAACATCTTTGAATGTAGTAAGGGGTTCATTGGTTATCATCCAGAGGGCCAGTGCAATTCAGTGAATTAAGATTGGAATCAGCCCACAAATCGTCCATGGCCTCTAGTTTGCCAGGCACTGTGCTAGATCCTCAGTTAGACATGAGTCCTACATCGTCCTGGCCTTGATGAGTCACTCTTGTGAGAGATTCTCCCACAATTCAGAGATGTAGGCCAGGTGGCAGTTGTCCCTGTTCTATTGATGACAAGACTGCCTTTCAGAGAAGTGTGTAACTTAATTATGCAGCTGCTTTAGCTCTGTCCAGGCTGCACTCAAAATCACATAGAAACAGACTTTATAAATGTGCCTGGATACTTTTAGCAGATTTTATTGCAGAGTGATGTTTTTTGGGTGATTTTTTTTTCTCATCTATAGTTTCTAAATTTCTTCAGTAATTATAAATAGTATATATGATAATAATAATAAAGAAAGAAGG